CTGCCAAGGACGGCAGCCTTTACTTCTTGCTGCTAAAGGACCGCAAGACCCGCTACGTGTGGGTAAGGCCGGTCGCCAAGAAGTCGGATGTGCTGCAGGAGTTCGTGCAGTGGCTGGCGGTGACTGAACGGCAGACGAAGTAGTCGGTGTTGATGCTGCGCTCTGACCAGGGTGGGGAGATCCTCAGGAAGAAGTTCACCGACTTCGTGGACGGCAAGGGGATAGTCCACGACCTGACCTGCCCGTACACCCCGCAGCAAAACGGCATGGCAGAGCTAGAGATGAGGACGGTGGTGGAGTCGGTGAGGACGATGCTGCTGCACATGGGCGTGCAGCACCACTGGTGGCACCTTGCTCTACGGCAGGCCGTCTTGGTCCGCAACTGCTTAGAGAGGTCAGCGTTGCCGCCGGGGACGACACCATACCAGCTGCTGACCGGGAAGAAGCCCGACTTGTCGTTGGCACGGATGTGGGGCTGCATGGCGCAGTTCTTGGTCCCCGAGCAGCAGCGAGGTGGAATGCTGAAGCCGAAGGCCAGGTGGGGCCTTCACCTCGGTGTGTCAGAGGAGAGCAAGGGCTGGGAGCTCCTCGACCCCGCCGACAACCAGGTGGTCACCACGTCGGACGTGGTGTTCTACGAGAACATGTCGCTGGAGGTGTGGAAGTCGGAGCACGGGCCGGCGTCAGGACGGACGTCGACCACCCCGCCGACGGACACCTCTACGGCGACGCTGCCTCTGCTCGCCGAGGTCAGAGAGCTTGCTGATGAGGACGCCGAGGTCGTCCGTCCTCCTTCCCCTCCCCCTGCACCCCCTGCCCCTCCCCTCGTGGCCGACCTGCGTGGGCTGATTCCCATGTCGGCCTCCGGCGATGAGGGGAGCAGTGGGGCGTCGCCTGTGGCGCCGGCCAAGAGCATCGCCGGTGGCCGACGTGACGCCCAGCAAGTCGACATGAGAGTGAGGTCGACGCCGGCAGGAGAAGAGCAGGCCGAGGTAAAGCCGACGGTGGTGAAGTCGGCGAAGGGGGCAGCGGCAAGGCAGCAACCGACAAGGGAGCAGGCAGCAGCCAAGTCGACCAAGGAGCAGTCGGCAGGGGAGCCGACCACAGGGGAGAAGTCGGCAGGGACGCCGGCTGTGGTGCAGCAGGATGCTGGGGGCAGTGACGCCGGCGAAGAGGAAACCGAGCAGACGGACGCCGAGGAGTCCACCGACAGCAACGGGGTGGAAGTCGGACCACGGAGGACAGGCCGACTTCGGAGGCCGCCTGACTTCTTCGTCCCGGCTGCCTTCACCACGGTGTACGACGAGGTCGACGACGACCTGCTGTATGACGATGCCGAGGAGGACGAAGACTTGCCAGAGCTCGACCCCGACATGCACGCCGACCCCGAGCACCGCTGGGACATCTGGACAAAGACGGTGAAGGATGCCTTGGCAACCTGGAAGGGCAATGCGGTGAAGGCCGCCATGGAGGAGGAAATCCGCAGCCTCATCAGCATGGGAACTTGGGAGCTGGCCGAACGCCCACCTGGGGTGAACATCATGAAGAACCGGTGGGTGCTGACGACGAAGTACCGCATCGACGACACCGTTGAGCGCGAGAAGGCGAGGCTGGTCGTGAAGGGCTTCACACAGGTGTATGGCACCGACTACGACGAGACGTACGCGCCGGTGAGCAGCTATGTCACGCTGAGGATCTTCCTCAGCATCGTCGCCGTGCTCAACCTCAACCTGATGCAGCTCGACATGAAGAACGCCTTCCTGCAGAGCAAGCTCGACCGGGTGCTCTACATGTATCAGCCGGACCACTTCAGCGACGGGACCGGCCGGGTGTGTAAGCTGCTGAAGAGCCTGTATGGGCTGAAGCAGTCGCCGCTGCTGTGGTACAAGGCACTCAATGACGTTCTGTTCGGCGCCGGGTGGAAGAAGAGCCAGGTCGACGAGGCTCTGTACTTCAAAGTCGACAATGTGGCCTGCTGGGTGCTGGTCTACGTCGACGACCTGCTCGCCGCCAGCAGCAGTGCCGAGATGCTGAAGGAGCTGAAGGAGCTGCTGGAGGCCGCCTTCGGGCTGCGGGAGATCTCGCCGGTGCAGAAGTACCTCGGGTTGGAGATCGTGCGCGACAGGTCGGCGAGGAAGCTGTGGCTCCACCAGCAGGGCTATGCAGACAAGCTGCGTAGGCGTTTTCTCAACAAGGAGCAGACCGGGCGCACCCCGAAGACGCCGGTCTCGGTCGACGCCTATGCTGAGCTCACCTTCGAGGACGAAGAGGCACAGGAGCGCCAGGAGGAGGAGTACCGGCAGAAGGTCGGCTCGCTGCAGTTTGCGGCGACAACGACGAGGCCGGACATCGCCTTTGCCTGCAGCAAGCTGGGGAGCGGCCTCACGGTGAGGAGCGACCAGTGGACCGAATAAACCCCCCTTCAAAGGGGCCGTCCTTTTCAGCGCGATAGTCGGTACAGCAAGATTGGGGCTGCAAAGGGGGATGTACTGGGTCGAATAAACCCCTTCTCCAGCAGGCCATCAATTTGGCTTCGCTGCTCCTCGAGTTCCGGTTGGGTCAACCACCACTGTGTACGAACAGTCGGCTGCGCGCCTGGTTCCAGCTGTATTTTGTGGTCATCGGGTCGTTCGGGTGGCAGTCCAGGTGGCATGTCGTCGGGGAAGATGTAGGGGTACTGTCGAATCAGCTCCGCTAAATCAGGCGGTACAGCTGCACACAGCTTCTCGATGTCCTGTCCGTCGGTGTCGGTTGCCAACTCGCGCAAGCATACGGCGAACAGCTGCGCGCCTCGGTTGAAGTGGAGAGCTATAGTGATAGCTTTGACGCACGGGGCTTGGATGTAGTCAGGTGTCCATGCAGGCAGGTTATTAGCCCCTCGTGCTTGCTGATGCTGCATGATCCCGTTGTCCAGGCGATGACGGGGTTGTGCCGTCGCAGCCAATCACGTCCCAGTAGCACGTCACAGCCATCCAGCGTTGTCGCGAGAAACTTCATGCTGAAGCTAAAAACGTCGCCGCACTCGATCCTCACCGTCCGTGTTTCCTCCAAAATCGCCAGAGGCATCCCATCCACGAGGCGAGCATCGATTTCGGGCAGACACATGTCAAGTTGCAGCTTGCATTTTTTTTGCTGTCGCCAGATTGAAGAGGCTATGGCTGACCCCACCATCGACGAACATTTTCAGATTATTTTTTTTAAATTGTGCCAACGACCAGCACAGGGTGATCCACATGGTTATCCCCGTTATTCGGCTGAGTGCGATCGATTGCATGAATCGGAACCACTACTCGGTGGGGATGTTGGTGTTCGGGCGACGGAGCACAGTCAGTAAGAGGCCCGTTAATTACTTACTCTTCCCATTTCCCTGCTCCCTCCTGTCGTTCCCTTTCGCCGGTGTTCTCTCGGGGCAGTCGTTCATGTAGTGACCCGTCTTCCCACACTTAAAACATGTCCCTTTTAAAGGGGCGGTCAGGTGTGTGGACTCCGTTGATTGTGGCCCGTTGGGTCTGGCCGCGGAAACGGTTTCCCTCCCGGGAACCTGCCCTCGCATACTGCATCAGCGCGTCTGTAGACTCAGCCAACCTCACAGCTTCCAGGAACGAAGTCGGGCGGCATCGGCGCACCTCGAACTGTATCTCGTATTTTAGGCCGCCGATGTATTTATCTAACCGCTCTGCCTCCGCCATGCCGTCCACTTGGCCAGCGAATGCCATAAACGACGCCGTGTAGTCCTGCAGCCAAATGCGACCAGGCACGCAGCTTCATGCGAGTTTGCTCCGAGGCGGATACGTGCTCGAAGCGATCCCGTAAGGCCCCACTCCTTCCACGTGCGTATCTTGGTAACTCCGAAGATTGATGTTGCCACTTGATTAGCCGATGTCGAGGTCCCGTCTGCCGCATGTGTCACACCTGTCGGGGTCCCCGTGCTCAAGGTGTGGCGCCACCATTCAAGCGTTGCACCTCGAAGTAGAGAAACCGCGTAATTAATACGCGTGGCATCATCGTGGACGTTCGCTGCAGTGAAGAAGACTTCAACGCTGAAGATCCACCCCTTCACTGTAGTCATCATATCCGTAGGACTGAACTGGGGCGGGTTCGCATATTTAATCTTGATCGTCGTAACTGCAACTGGCGTCGCTGCCGCTCGCTACCTGTCTTCTTCTTCGTCGCTGCCTGCCTGTCTTCTTCGTCTTCGCATCCAACGGATTGAACATCGCTTGACTGTTGCCTTCACCTTCTTCATCGGGCGACTCCTGACGCGCTTCACCTCGCGTCTGGCGTAGCTCGGTGTTTTCCTCACGTAGCGTTGTAAATTCTGCCGAGAGATTCTGCACTGTTGCCTGTAGCTCTTGCATTTGCGCCGACATCTTGTTCAAAGTTTCTTGGTCCATGAGTCGCACGCTTCGTCTGGTGGGCATAAGGGTATCCGTGACCTTCAGGCGAGTGAAAAGCAAAAACTATCGGAGTCGGGCATGTTAGAATTAACGAACCTTGCTGCCAAGCGTTTTGCAGTCCACTGTACCAGCCACACCCGTGCCACCAAACTACCCTCGAAAAGCGGGGTGAACTAGGAAAGTAGCTCTGATACCAGGTGTTATGAGTTGTTAAAGTGAGTGCGCGGAAGAACGAATACACGAGAGTGTGACTTAATGAACTGCAATCCAATGAAGGCACGGGACTATATAGTGACTACCCTAGCTAGGAGGGAACCTCGGGAAACGAGGTTGGGTGCAGGTTTGGCGACGGAAAGCCGAAGGCGACGCGGAGGAGCCTCGGCATCGTGGATGTCGGCCGAACGTGTGCAGTCCGAAATGTCGGGGTTGTACGCGTAGCAGTCAACCCCGGTAAGGAAAGGGAAAAATCTTTACAATAGTAGCTCATATAGGGTACAACCCATAATGGTTAGTACTTATACTTCTTACTGCTGTTAGTTTATCATTCCTTCTTCATTCAGTTATTAACAACAAATGTTCACCTTGTTGTTCACAACTGAGCATATGGGAATTCCCATGGGTCGTATGTCTGGAAAAGTACGATGTATAGGTCAGAACCTTATACCGGTAGATTCATGTTTTTACACGTTTAGTTATATGCTTCCCACACAAACTTTATATATGTCCAGAATGTAATCCAATAACAACTTCATCCCTTCTTGTAAGGGGGATACATTTGGGATCCCTCCCCGAGGTTTGCTGCTTGGCACCGAGGTGTTGGATCTGCCTCCGCTTTCTTCGTTCCCTCCATCACCATTACCATCTCCATCCTCATCACAGCGCCACCACTGCTCTATTTCTTCCCACACGCTTTTCCTTTCTTGCCACCACCCCTGACCGCATCTGCTCGCCTGTCTGCCATACGTTTCCAACAATACCTGCATTTTCTTGAACGCTCTCATAGGCTGCACGGCGGAGCAGGTAGGCTGTTGAGAGCTTTCTCGAATTTGCACATGAAAACACCTCTTCGATGCCAGGGGGGTAAACCTTCGACCTTATTCGCCCATTTTCCTTCTCGCATTCTTTTTTCCTTTTCCCCTTTTTCTTCCGTGGCTTCCTCGAGGTTATTATTCGACCCAAGCTCGTCGCCTTCCTTTCTGTGCGCCGTGCCAGTGCGCTTGCGTCCCCCCGTTCCCACGTGCCCGCCTCATCCCACTTGCACGTGTCCCCTCCCCGCCTTCCCCATCCGCCCTCCTCTCCCCAGGACCCGCACTGCTGCCAGCCGCGTTTTCGCCGCCGCTACCCGCGGGGGATGTCGCGTGTCGTCGGTTTCACTGCTGCGCCGGTCGTCGTTTGATTGATTCCGCGCGCGACGGGCCGTCATGAGGCTGCGGCGGGGCTCGCTGCGCGGCAGCGGCGCGCGTGCGGGCGGCGACACGCCGCGGTATCTGGTGAACTCGCTGGCGGTGGCGTTCGTGGTGTCGCTGCTCTTCCTCTACCGCCTGCAGCGCCAGGAGCGCCAGGAGCAGGCGCAGCAGCAGCGCGAGGAGCAGCAGCAGCAGCAGCACCCCGCGCTCGAGGTCGAGAGCGGCGGAGGGGGGAGCGGCGAGGATGCGACAAGCGGCGGTGGTGGGGGGGTGAGGGAGTTGCGCGTGAGCGGCAGTGGGGTGGATGGTGGCGGAGGTGAAGGCGGGACGGAGAGCGACGCGGGAGGGGACGAGGGGGGAGGGAGCGGGCAGGGTGACGGCGTTGGGGGAGGTGGTTCTGAAGGCGGTGGGGGGGGAGGGGCGGACGACGATGGCGGGGAAGGCGGTGAGGCGAGTGAGAAGGGCGACGAGGCCCGGGAGGTGCGTGGAAAGGAGGGTGGAGAGGCGTTTGGAGAAGTAGAGGCAGGTGCGGGTGGCAGCACCAAGGTGACTTCAGAGGCTAGCCGTGATAGTGGTGGCGATGGCGATGGTGGCGGTAATCGTGGAAGGATGGAGGGGATGGCGGGTGGCAGTGGAGGGGAAAGTGACAAGGGCACGAGAGAGGCAGGGGAAGACAGTGACGCGGGGAGTGCGGCAGAGAGGAGTGAGGGTGAGAGCGAGAGCAGTGGGGATGGTGGAATGCGTGGGAGTGTGGCGGATGGTGAGGAGGAGGACAGGGGGGGCGTGGCGAGCACAGACGATGGGGAGACTGAGAAGGGCGCGGAAAAGGATGATAAAGAAATGGGCAGTGATGGGGGGCATGGCGAGGAGCAGGGCACTGCAGATGAGGCTGAGGGGGGCATTTCTGGTGGAGGGGAAGGGAAGAGCGTGGCGGGGGCTAAGGACGCAGAGGAGGAGAGCGAGAGTGGATCTGGGGCGGAGAAGGGAGGGGAGGCGAAGGAGGCGGAGGAGGGAAATGGCAGTGAGAGCAGTGCAGTGAAGGGGGGAGGTGATGTGGAGGCTGGAAGTACAGAGGCAGACGTGACGGAGCAAGGGCGGAGTGGCAGTGAGGGTGATGGTGGGAGTGCGATTGTGAGTGGCGGCAAGGCGGGCAAGAGTGAGGCCGTGGAGGCAGGTGATGCCGTGGAGGAGGGGAGGGTGAAGGGCAAGAAAAAGAAGAAGGTTTCGAACAACAAGAAGAGCAAGAAGGGCAAGAAAAGGAAGAAGAAAAAGAGCAAGAAGGCTAAGGTTGCTGATGAGTAAGTTATGAGCTGGCATTGCAAACACTGCATGCTGACTGCATTGCAGCTTACTCATTCCTGTGGTACCCGAAGTTCAGTTCTACAAGACTACTGTAGTTTCACGGTTAGAGGAGGACCCCCCTAGTCCTGAAAACGAGTCCCATGAGCAGCAGGGTAACACATCCTGGTTCCTTCATTTTCAGGGTGTGCTTAGGGGCAATGCCTTGAATTGTTTTGGTAGTGTAATTTGTGCCTTGTAGCGTCATGATAATTGTAGCAAGTTTGGATAACAGCAGGTTGCAAACATGTTACCGGTACTAGTTTTATGCACGTATCATGAATGAACCATGCATGTCCGGCGGCAGCAGCAACCAACCACAGCCACTCAGCAATGCACAAACTCGTAGTAGATCTCAACAGCAAAACAAGACAGGCACTACGAGACGAGACACTCTACGGTCTGCATCATGATGAAGGCATGACACCGCAGCAAGAGCTCCTTCGTGTGTCTTCACCTTTCTCCTCTCTCAAGACCATAGTTGAGCGCACGATGCTCCAAGACGCAGGACTTCACGCGTCTCGGCAAGACTCAACGTTACTCCTCAAGAGAGTGACGTCCGAGCACGCCGGTCCTTCCAGCGTAAGTCTCTCAATCTTCTCCCCCTTCTTGAATGCCTTAATGGTGGGTACGACGTGGACGCGGCAGCTTGCGGTCGTCTCGGGGCAGTCATCCGTGTTGACCTTGTAGAAGGAGACGCTGCCGGGGTACGTCTCCGCCAAGCTGTCCAGCACGAAACCAAGCGAGTACGATTCGTCATGGCCTGGTGTCCAGAAGAGGAGGATGACTGGCCATTTCGTTCGCCGAACGAGCCTCACGAAGTCGTCATCTGCCAAGTCTGTAGCCGTCGTCATCGCAGATCAATTAGAACCAAGAAAAATAGATGGAAACTGGAAGGTGCTTTAGCCTCGCCCTGCTTTATCCATACGCAACGAGATCGCCAGCGGTTCTGCACGGGCGAACTGGTGGCGAAAGGGTATCTTACTTTCCCTATTGGAACAATGGGTAACTCCTGACAGCGAATCATCTCGGTGTGAACTCTGTCGACAATTGAGATTTATCCAAGTAGCGAGACGGACGAGCGCGTCTGAATGTATTTATTGCTGCTAGTAACCGGCTTTGTGCACCGACAATGCATGGACACTTACGATGATAGGGCGATAGTATTCTCGCATCCACCCCGTGCATTTCTAATTAGGCACGAAAACGAACGTGAAAAGTATTACGACGCGAAGAGCGGCTGGATAAGTTTTGTCTGTAGAGTCACGCGGTACATAGTCACATGGACTTGACAGTAAACGGCCAATCGCATGTCGATTAGACACTGCCGGCCGCCTTCAAGACTAACGCGCAGTCTTGACATGACCCTCCCTTCAATCGAGGATGTTGCTGAATGAAAGTGGTAAGGGCGGGTCATATAAAATTCCAAATCGTGCGGTTCAATGTGCTACAAAACGGTAAAGAACGATTATTGTCTTTCAAACATTGGGATGGATGAGTTGAAGCCCTTGGAATCGACCACTACGAATAAGTAGCACTTCACAAACATTACTGAAGAAAAATCTACACCACACCTACGGTAGAAGCGCAGCAGCTTTTATAATACGCTGAAATTCAAACCCCCAAAACTGTTCATAATGGCTTGCGTCAGTGAGTTGGTGCTGCTGATGGTATGCTGTAGCAGTGTCAGGCAGGCAGCAGTAGGCCAGTCCAGGCAGCAGCAGCAATGATGGCGGCGAGCAGCAGCAGTGCAGCCCAGTCGCGGGCGTGCAGAGCAAAGTGGCCGAGGAAGTAGAGGCGGTGCGTGGTGGGGTCCCCCGAGTACCCACGCGCTATCATGGCCTGGTGGGGGGGAGGAGGGGGGGGACAGGTGGCAGAGGGCATGGTGGCGAGCGGAGGGGGAAAGGAGAGGAAGGGTTACAATCGACACATGACAGCATATGCAGTTTTTTCGCGTCACAATCGATTGTGACGCCTAAAACGAAGACATGTCTTCGCAAGAATGTACCCTTAATGTGGAGACAGTGATGCAAGCAGTGGACGCGGTGGAAACGACTAGCGGAGGCGAGGCGAGCAGCAGTGGGCCTTTGTGGCGCGCATGGGGATTAAGCCATGATGTACTCTTGCTGCTGCTGCTGCTGCTGCTGCTGCTGCTCTACACAAAGCGGAACTCTAACTTGATGCGGGAGAATCCAAAGGCCAAGGTGGGAGGGCGTGGTGGCGAGAGGGAGAGTGAGGGAGCGGCACCTGTGAGATCTGGTCGGCGTGGGTGAAGAGGTTCTGGAAGAGGCGCCCTGCCAGTGACAGCACCACTGCCGTGCACATCGCATCAGCGCGGAGACGCATAGGTGCATTTGGGAGGAATGCGTGGGTGGGGAGCGCATGGACGGCAAATGAGAGGCAAGGAGGCAATGTGATGAGAGTGGAGGAGGGAGAGGGCGTGGGCTGACATGGGCAGTGGAGAAGGCGTGATAACGCGCGTTGCACAACCAACGTCCACACACATACTCTTTCACACCCACCACACCCACCACACCCACCACCGTCACCACGGCCAGCACGGCCAGCAGAGCCACGAGAGCGGTGGAAGACTGACAGTCAAGCGTGGCGAGGGGCTGCAGCCGGGTCCAGTGGATGCCGCGCGCCACGGTGCCGAGGGCCAGCGAGCGCAGCTCATCGAAGACGAGCCCTAGGAAGCGCAGCGACAGCAGCAGCGTCAGGATGGCCGCCTCCACGCCCACGCCCACCGCCTTCAAAGGCGCCATGCCCCACCGCAGCGCCCCCGCCATCGCCTCGGGACTCGTTGTGATCAGACTCACCGCTGCTGCATGCAGCACCTGGGGGGGGTGGGGGGGAGGCACCGGGCAGAGTGCGGAGGTAAGTGTGTGTGTCTGTGGGAGGAGTGGAGCAGCGTGGCTTCGGCAGCAGCCACGGTGGGGCAATCACATTAAGGGTGAGTAATCCAAGCTTGCAAGACACGAGTACTAGGTGACAGGGCACAAGCAATGAGAAAAGTAGCAACACGCTGCACAGGGGAGGCGGAGGGCTAGGGGAGGTGAGGGCGGGCGGGTGGCACAATGAAGGAGAGCGAGGCGGCCATGGCAGCCAGCTTGGCGGCGCGGCGTGTGAGCAGCAGTGGGCCCACGTGCAGCAGCACATAGCGGTAGGTGGAGGGCAGCAGCGCCGCCACGGACGCCGCTGGGCCCAGCGCAGGCAACGAGGCGGCGGCACTGGAGGCGAGGGCGACGGGCTCGAGGGCGAGGGGCAGCGGGCGCGGCTGCACGAAGGCAGGCACACCGTCGGTGGAGAAGGCGAGACCGAGGAAGATGAAGGCCGTGAAGAGCAGCGACCGCCACAGCTGCGCCTGGTGTGTGGACAGGGGGCAGTGGGTACGAACGAGGGGTGGCGGCAGGGAGGGGAAGAGGAATTGGTGCACTTGCAGGGGAGGAAGATTGATGTGCGTGCGGACGAGGGTGCGTGGTGCAGCAGAGGCACTGACGCGTTCATGGTGGGGTTGTGGTGGGTGCGCGCTCACCCTGGCAATGCTGGCGGGCAGGGCGAGCAGCGTGAGGGCGACGAGGAAGGCGCAGAGGGCGAGGCGCAGGTCGAGACCCGCCCGCGCTGGCAGCAGCACCAGCAGCAGCAGCCACAGCTGGGGGGGGGGGGGGCGGCGAGGGGCATAGGGGGGTGTGGCAGGGGAGGGGGGTGTGATTGTGACAAGTGAGCGTGAAGGAGGTACAAGGATGGGTGGGGGGAAGGGGGGTTGGGAGGCAGAGGGGGGTGTGCATGCATGGTGGGGGGACAGCATCATACGCCGTCACCTCAGGGGCTCTCTCTCCCTCTGCCTTGCTCCATCCCACCCATTTTTCCCTCCGTCCTTTCCGCCCTTGTTCCTTCTGCCCTTCCCACCCAATAATCCTCAATCCAAACTCGCTCACTCGTCAGCATCTGTTCTCACCTGCTTAACCCGCGGGTCTAATCGGTGCAGAACGGTGACAGGCTCCGCAATAAACGACCCGATGGGCGCGGAGCTGCTGTTGACGATGCCGCTCATCACGCGCTCTCCCAGCGACTCGCGCCCGCGCCACGCCCGCCATTGCCACCAACGCCGCTTCCCACCCGAACCCGATGGTTCCGAACCTAACGAATCAGGCTCGGCAGGGCCTTTGGTGGCAGCCCCCTCCGGCAGCGGCGTTGCGCCGCTCTGATCGCCGGCGCCCGCTTGCGCAGCGGAAGAGGCCCGCGCAGCCAGGCATGGCTGGCGGCGACGGATTAGAGTCTCGGCGGGAGAATGGACGACGGGGGATGGGAGGGGAGAGCGCGAGCGGGAGCCGGCGAAGCAGAGGGGGGAGCGGCGCGAAGCGGATGGCGACGCGCGCGCACACGCATTGGCGCGAGGGCGCTCGCACGCGGGCTCGGCGGCTGGCTTAGGGAAGGGGTTACGGGCAGGCGTGGATGCGCGGCGAGCAGCGACGGACGGTGGAGCGGCGGGGGATGGCAGCGGCTTCCACGCGGCGGCGTGCATTGCGAGAGCGATGGAAATCACAGCTGCTTCGTGTGTGGCTGACTGAGCGGTAATCCAATTGAAGGTACGACTCGTGGCATCTGGGGGGCGGTTCACAAAGGTTCAATAAGGCAACATTCGAATTTGGCTAAGTTGACTTACAGAACTGATTTCGAATGCCAAAATTCGTTACCTTCAAAATATTACTAATCTTGATGAACTAGGTGTTACCCTGCATTGCAGGGCCTGCAACACCTTCTACAGATCCAGCCTAGTCCAGATGCTCAACTGTCAAATCTTATATTTGTGTTGTAGGCTGTATTGAGGCATTCTGTATGGGGAAGAACCCTTTTAGGGTTCATACGGTACTTGTTGGAATAACCGAAAGGTTATCGTAACATCCCCGAAGGCTCTCCACTCACGCGTCACTTCATAACGAAGCAACACGTCTGTATCAGTACCGCAATAGCTCATATAGAGCATGCAGAAGATCGAGAGTCACCCGAAGGTCAACAGTCGAAGACAGTCAACGGTCATGACTCTTGACCGTCCGTCCGGTAACCGCACTTGGTAGTTACGCGATGCAACATGGTAACTGTCAAGAAGAGCAATAGTCGTGGTTACTGTAGCAATGAAATTCAGTTAATAAGGGAATGAACCCCTCATAGTACATGGCTAGCTATGATTGCTATTTATACCCTTGTACCCCTATCTTATAATCATCTTGTTCTCTTTCAACTTTATTAACAAGGTCATTACAAAGACTTCATTGTCTTCTCTCAAACTTGGTAGACTTATTCTGTTCACTACAATCCTTCAGTTATGTCAAAATGTGTTATTTGTCTAGCCTGCAGTGGGGTACTCAATAGTGAGTACAGCCCTTTAGGGTTTGCTATTTGTACCAACCTGCTTGCTAGTGCATTCATCCTTTCTTCAATTCTGTTTCCGTTTGTTCAACTCTCCCTCGTACTTGGCGCCTCCTTCCTAGTCTTAGCGTGGCCTAGGCTACTAAGCCTAGACCCGTCTGCTTAGTATGTTTGACATGGTATCAGAGGGCGGCATGTCTCTGCCGCCTTCCTGTGCATGGGCCCACCACCTACTTCCGCTGCCATACTGTCCGCCGCGCGCCCCGTGGTGTGCGGCGCGGAAAATAGGGTTTCTGCCCGCCGCGCGCTCGGGGCGCGTGGCGGTTTACCCCTCCGTGGCGCCCGTCGTGGCGCCCTTCGGGGGCCTGCGCGCTGCCCCCACCCCGTCGCCCGTCGTGGCGCCCTTCAAGGGCCCGCGCGCGGCCTCTCCGTCGCCCGTCGTGGCGACTTCGGGGGGCCTGCGCGCGGCCCTCCCCGTCGCCCGTCGTGGCGACTTCGGGGGCCTGCGCGCGGCCCTCCCCGTCGCTCGTCGAGGCGACTTCGGGGGGCCCGCGCGCGGCCCTCCCCGTCGCCCGTCGAGGCGACTTCGGGGGGCCCGCGCGCGGCCCTCCCCGTCGCCCGTCGTGGCGACCCTGGGGGGCCAGCGCGCGGCCCTCCCCGTCGCCCGTCGAGGCGACCCCGGGGGGCGTGCGCGCTGCCCGCCCCTGCAGTAGCCCGCGACGCCGCCCCAGGACCAGCGCGAGCCGCCCCTGCAGCAGCCCTCGGCCCGCCCCTGCAGCTGCCCGCGACGCCGTCCCTGCAGCCCATCCCGCCCCCCCCCCCCCCCCCCCCGTGCTGCCCATTACTCCCGTTCCGCCGTGCGTTCCGCGGTGGTGGGGGTGTGGGGTGGCGAGCATGGGGGTGCGCGGTGTGGGTGCTCCCCTTCCCTTTCCTCTCCTCCTTTTCCGTCTCCCACTGCTACAGCTGCCGCTGAGGGGGGTGGAGGTGTGGGAGCCGCGGGGAGGGCCGCTAAGGGGGTGACGTGGGAGTGGAGCTAGGGGTGCAGCAGGAGGTGTGTGGGGGGGTGTGGGACAGTTGGAGGAGGTTGTGTGGAGGCAGCCGTCGTGTCGCCAGCAGCGCCAGTAGTCCGGAGCCGTCGTGCTCTCGGTAGCCCAGTGAGCCTGCTGCGCCAGTCGCCCGTGGGTCCGTTGCTCCTGCCGCTCGTCGTAGCCGCAGAGCCTGTTACTCCTGTAGTCCGGAGCCGTCGTGCTCTCGGTAGCCACTGTGCCAGCCGCTCCTGTTGCCCGTGTGTCTGCAGCTTCAGCCGTCGTCTTCCATCTCCTCTCCTCTCTCAGTCCCTCCTCCTCCTCGCTTGCCCTCTGTGACTGCCTCTAGCTTTGCTTGTGCTTGTGAACTATTCTATGACTTGTTGTTGTGCTGATTATACCCCACTTTGGCTATGGGGGTGTGTCAGAATGTGTTATTTGTCTAGCCTGCAGCGGGGTACTCAATAGTGAGTACAGCCCTTTAGGGTTTGCTATTTGTACTAACCTGCTTGCTAGTGCATTCATCCTTTCTTCAATTCTGTTTCCGTTTGTTCAACTCTCCCTCGTACTTGGCGCCTCCTTCCTAGTCTTAGCGTGGCCTAGGCTACTAAGCCTAGACCCGTCTGCTTAGTATGTTTGACAAGTTATAACAACACTTGTATCACCCATACTGCTCAATGCAATTATTCCGCTGTTTCAAACTTTAACATGGTATCCGAGTAGGTTCGTTCCAACAGCGCTGCTACCTCAACGCGCGCACTACCCTACTTCTACTGCCACTGCTGTGCCGCTGCTGCCGCGCTGCCCCTTAATGCCCCTTAATGCGCGCTGCTGCCGCTGCTGAACGCGCTGCCCCGCGCGCGCTGCTTTGCGCTGCCGTGCTGCCCCGCGCGCGCTGCCTCGCGCTGCCGCACTGCCCCGCGCGCGCTGCCTCGCGCCGCCCCACACGCTGCCACGCCGCCGCCCGCGCTGCCCCGCCGCGCCGCCGCCCGCGCTGCCCCGCCGCGCCGCCGCCCGCGCTGCCCGCGCTGCGCTGCAGCTCTGCCGTCTGCGCTGTTGCCTGCGCTGCGCTGCAGCTCTGCCGTCTGCGCTGCCGCCCGCGCCGCAGCCTGCACTGCCGCACTGCTGCCCGCGCCGCCGCCTGCGCTGCCGCCCGCGCTGCCCCGTGCTGCCCTGCACTGCCCCGCGCTGCCGCCCGCACTGCTGCCCGCACGCGCTGCCGCCAGCGCTGCCGCCTACACTGCTGCCCGCGCTGACGCCGCGCTGCCTCTCGCGCTGACGCTGCGCTGCACGCTGCCGCCCGTCGCCCGCGCCGCCCGCTACCGAGCCGCGCCGCCCTGCCTACCGCCGCGCCGCGCCGCCCTGCCCACCGCGGCGTCGCGCCGCGTTCCCGAACTACCTGCTGCAGCGACGCCCGTTACTGCTGTGCCGCCCACTCCGGCCGTGCCGCTCGTTCTATCACGTCACCCCAAGCCGCCGCCCGTGCCTAGATCTGCAGCTAGTTCCTAGGGCTGCTGCCTGACCTAGTTTCTGCCATGGCGACTCTCACTGTCCTAGCGTTTGACACAGAGGGGCGTCCTCTCGAGTTCGATTCCTGATTAGAGGACCTGCACCTGTACCTGCAGAGTGTCACTAGGGACGACGTCTCCCTGTTCGAGCAAACATCGGGGTCATTTAAGGCCCCCAAGACTACAGCTGAGCCTGTTGCTGGCGCTGGGGAGGAGGTGCAGCAGCAATACCAGGCTGACCGCATTGCCTGCACGCGGTGGACGGCACGCGACGCCACCGCCCATCTTGCTGCCTGCGCTCACCTGTCGCTCGACCAGAGGGCCCACTTTCGCCAGGTGACGTTGGCCCTGACTTTCTACGACGCTGTGGTTAGGCGATACTCCTCCCCCTCTTCTGCCACCCTAGGCCGTCTTGCGCTGTCGTTTCTCTTCCCCGAGCTGTATGACTTTACCACTGTAGCTGACCTCATGACCCATCTGCGCTCACTTGACTCCCGCTACCATGCCGCCCTCACGCCATAGTTTCTGGCTGGGAACCAGCCCCCCATGTACTTCACACTGTACTTCCTCACGACTCCCTTCCCTGACACCCTGCATGCTGTTTGCGACCACTTCCTCTCCCTAGACCCCGCTAGTCTCGACCTTGCATCGTTTGAGACCCGTCTCCTCGAGGCCGAGACCAGTGCCCGCGCTGTTGCTGCCTCCCGTGGCACCCCCAGCACCTCCTTTTTTTAGGGGTGCACTCCCCC